GCCACCGTGCCCGGCCCACGGATTCTTTTTTGTTTATTTTGGTTTCGTCTTTTTAAATTCCTTCTCCCTAGAGACTGTCAAAAATTGTCAATGCCGACTCTATTGCATGTCATGACGGCGGGGTATTGGGGAAAGTTTTCAATGAGCAATAGTCTCATCTCAGATAAAACGCGTTGGCTACGACGCTGCCACTGCGCAAAGCTCGCAGACTCTTTTTCAAGCAAGTGTGGTTTAGAATTTACATATTGTCCAGTTTCATGTATAGATGCCTCTGACCATTCAATGACCTTGCTACCTGGTGAGATGAGTCAGTATTGCAGCAACACTCCCAGGAAATAGTTTGACTAATTTTTGGCTATTTTCTGGGAACAAAATTTGGTTTAACTTTGCGTCGACTCAGGCAGAGAATATAGCATTATGGTCCACCTGTGCAGGGAGATTTTGGCCTGTGCATCTGGAAAGCAGGCTCATCTACTCACCAGGCTTCATCCAGGGCACCCTAGAATCTTCCTGTCAGAATTTGTATTCTTGCCGTGCGGACGATTCTGTGCTTGTGCTATGAGTAAATACTGATTTGGTCATGTGAAGTGATTTGCTTAATGTGACCTGGTTCTCTGAATTTATTTACAGAAAGCCAAAATGATGATGAGGAAGAGGAAGAGAAAGGGACAGTGCCCCCCAGGTAATGCTGTGGAGTTGTCTCTTGTTAGTTCTTTAGTGACACGTGGAGACTGCTTATCCAGGGAAAACGGGGGAATGATGACTAGAAGTCTTTCTTCCATTTACCCAGCTACAACTTGTTCTTACTGACAATGTTGTACGTGATTTGCAGCAGTTTTATACCTTTTAATTTCTTTGTCCTCCCAAGGTAGGATCCTGCAATCTGATGATCCAGGTGAACTCAGCAAATAGTGATTTCCTGGTTTCGCCTGTTGTCTCCCATGTGTTTAAATCCAGGGACAAATGCATATATTGTTTCTGCGTATTTCTTGTTATCATGTTTGCTAGGATATGTGAAGAGAAGAAATTCAGAAATATACATATGATATCAAAATACTGTGAAAGGGAGGCCCTTAATAGCCAAGGTCTGGGTGTCTGAAATGCCTCAAGAGCTGTGTTCACTTGAATGCTGCATGTAAAATTCAACACAACTTATGCGAGGTAGTTGAAGTCCCGTGTTAGTTCTCGTGCTGCAGTTGATGATGAGAGTTTATAGGGAGCCTGGGTGGCCTGCAGTGGCTCAAAATGCAGTGAGCACCTGCTGCTTATTTCTGCTGTGTCTCCAGGGTAGTCACCCTCTGCCCTGCATTTAGAAGGATAGTATTTTTTTTCTCTTGAAGGAAAAATGCCTTTGCTTTCTGAGGCCACTCCATTCTGACTTCCATCAGATCATCTGGGAGACTTTGTTGTCTAATCTCTGTTGGTTTAATCTTCTGTCATCCTGTCCTGCCTGGCTCATCAGGAATCTGCAGGAGTCTGTGGAGGAGGAAGCCCCCCAGGAGTCCTGGGATGAAGGTTATTCGACTCTCTCAGTTCCTCCTGGCACATCTGCCTTCAGTGAGCCTTACAGGAGCAAGTTGCACTCATTAGAGGAGCAGCAAGTCGACTTGGCTGGTGACATAGACAGTGAGTACTCCATTGTGAAGGCGATAAAGCTCCATTTTGTGTCCCAGATAGACCCCATAGTCTTTGGGCATTGCTCCCCTGGCTGGGCTGAGAGTTGTCATCACTGTGGGCTGAACCTGTACATCAGTGTAGATTTCGATCACTCTGGATTCCAGTCTGAAGCACGGACATGGGGTGGGTCAGTGAGCTTTGCTCTCTCTCTAGTCTCAGGTCGTGCCCGTCGACCCTGGACCGACTGTCAGGACATTGAAACCCAAGGCAGGTGTTGCACTGACACCAAGCTATGCAGCGCATGCCCACGAGTTGTCTGTCAATCTGAATTCAATGTCTCTTGCCAGCTACCAAGTTCCTCCTGAGTTTTGTTCCCCAACCATGTCTGTGAGGTTCTTCCCTGCTTGTACAAACTTGGTGTAACTGTTTGTACAAACTCGGGATAAAAGGATAATGGTCTACCAGAATAGGGACATTTCACCATTGGTTCTGAGACGCAAACCAAGGTATCTCTATCATGATTGGCCTTGAGACCCCCTGAAGCCCATCTCTCACATTATCCTGTTCTCATGCTGGGGAGCCTGAGGTCCCCGTGCAGGCATTGGACAGTGGACTGTTATGTGTGTAGGGGAATTGGCTTATTTTGTCTGTCCCTGTCTGAATTTATTGCAGAGATTAAAATAACCAAGAAGAGGAAGAAGACCAAGGCCCACGATGCCCCAGGTAACTTTGTGCAATTGTGAACAGCTAATTATGTGTTGACACCTGGAGACGCCAGGTCCAGGGAAAACAGAGTGGGCTGACAATGTCAATACCGTGTTTTCAACGAAGCCTGAACCATTCCTACTAACACTGCTGTTGGTTTTCATTGCAGTAGATATTTAGGTTTCCATTTCTTCCTCCCCTTATCATGTACTAACTACCGTAGGTTGACCATACTTGTTTTTACGATCAGTGTTCGCTGTGTGTCCTGAGGGCACTAACTCAGAATGTCCTTTTGCTCCCTCATTAGTGTGTCACCTGGACCGTTCACTGAGCTTACTTTCTCTCTCTCTCTCTCTCTTTTTCTCTTTCATTATTTTTTACCCACTCTTGCCCATCCCAACATAGGGCAATAATTTGTTACTTCATTAATGGATCTATGATTTTTCTTTATTAACCAGTTTCTTGTGCTACCCATGAAATCTAGTTGGGGCTCTGCGTGTCTTATTTTCCCTGACTTATTCTTTGTTTTTTTCTCCTTTTCTAGGCTCCGCATGGAGCTGGTGGAAGCAGAAGAGCCTGAAGTCTTCTGGTACTCACTGGATATATTGCATTCAATGTATACAGCCAATCCTGAGTTTTTTTACACCTGCCAGGCTTACATATACGCTTTTTTTTATTTGTAGAAGAGCATGTTCGCTTGACTTTGGACATGGACAGTAGGTTTCTTACTATGATGGTGATAAGACTCCACCTGGTCTCCCGGATAGGGGTCGTATTCCCACACTAAGACAACATGTCACCTGGGACTCTGCCGGTGCAGAGTATGAACAACACCATGTTCTTGCTGAAAACGCTTAGCCTGAGTTTCATAGCCTGAGGTACTCTCCAGACAACTTCAGAATGTAGACCAGTGAGCAGCACGACTGACCTGTCTCCTTCAGACAGCCCATGTCACCACAAATCACACAACTAAAAGGAGAAGAGTCATTTTGGGTTGAAAAAGAGTCAAAAGATAATGTAGCTACATTTCCTTAGTTCTTTTGAACCCAAAGTGTCTCCTCGCCTTTTTGTTGTTGTCATTGATGGTGGTGACATGGGCTTGTTTGTAGAGGACAGGTCAGCTGTCTCGCTCAATGGTCCATACCCTGAAGTTGTCTGAAAATGTCCTTATGATTAAATTCAGCCTAAGTGTTTTTCCGGGAACACTGCAGGGTCAATGCTACCTCACCCATCTGCAGGCAGAGAAGGTCCCTTGTGTATCCCACCATGATCGTTGTACCAGAACTATTCCACCATTTGTCTACGACCATGATCATGGTGCCGGGGTTGTTCCACCATTTGTCTATCACCATCATCATGGTACCAGGACTGTTCCACCATTTGTCTATCACCATGATTGTGATACCAGGACTGTTCCATCATTTGCCTACCACAATGCTTGTGATACCAGGATTATTCCACCATTTGTCTATCACCATCATCCTGATACCAGGACTGTCCCACCATTAGTCTATCACCATAATCGTGGTACCAGGGCTGTTCCATAATTTGCCTGTCACCATGATCGCAATACCAGTACTGTCCTACCGTTTGTCTATCACCATGATCGTGATACCAGGACTCTTCCACCATTTGTCTATCACCGTGATCGTGGGACCAGGACTGTTCCACCGTTTGTCTACCACCATGATCGTGGTACCAGGACTGTTCCACCATTTGCCTACCACAATGCTTGTGATACCAGGACAATTCCACCATTTGTATACCACCATCATCCTAATACCAGGACTGTCCCAACATTAGTCTATCACCATGTTTGTGGTACCAGGACTGCTCCACTATTTGTCTATCACCATGATCATGATACTAGGACTGTTCCACCATTTGTCTATCACCATGATCATTGTACCAGGACTGTTCCACCATTTGTCTATCACCATGACTGTCATACCAGGACTGTTCCACCATTTGTCTGTCACCATGATTGTGGTACCAGGACTGTTCCACCATTTGTCTACCACCATGATCGTGATACCAGGACTGTTCCACCGTTTGTCTACCACCATGACTGTGATACCAGGACTGTTCCACCATTTGTCTATCACCATGATCGTGGTACCAGGACTCTTCCACCATTTGTCTACCACTATGATCATGGTACCAGGACTGTTCCAACATTTGTCTATCACCATGATCGTGGTACCAGGACTGTTCCACCGTTTGTCTA